GTACATGCAGGAAAGTCATTGTTAAGTCATCAGAATTCACGTTGGTTTCCAATACCAGTAAGACCGAGCTATAAGCGTGCCAGTCAGGTGCTAAGGGCCAGGAGAAAATATAAATAAATAAAATATCAATGGAAATTTCACGTGTTAGTAATACTGACAGCGTGGTGAAGTATCGACGTTATTGAAGAGTAGGTCTATAAATTTTTGAAGAGTGGTAGAAAGATTGAGGCATCTGTTCACTTGTGAATGAGAAATTAATTTTTACTCGTAGTCATATGCCAGATCTTTAGATCAGCACTGTAGTGAATTTTACTGCAATCGGAACTGCACGACAAAAACTTGAATGGGCACATCATTCGCAATGCAACGATTTGTCTGATTTCACAGGCAACAGTAAGCATACAGAACGCAGAAATAAAGCGTTATACAGGTTGCTAATATCCCACTGGCTGTACTTACTGTATGTCAGTCATTCTTCAGAAACACATCTATCTGACTGTGGTTATTTTTAAGTACTTTCCACTTTACAATAGCGTTCCCCAAATCTGCAGCCTTTAATTTGAAATCGATCCAGCTCGTAAGAGTTAAAAGTTTTCTGGTGACTATGCAGAGGTTTTCATTTGTTTGTAATTAATGGGAGTGATGTATCAAAATATAGTTACCATGATAATAAAACTCGTGGTGACACATATTATATATTTAGATTACTCAGAGTTTCTAAAGACTCAAGGTGTGATATCATTGACTGTTAACTTATTTAAGAGGCAATTTACCTTAGACTCAAATATTTGTTTGAATTGTTCGAAAATCCTCTTTAGAGTGAAGGCTTATTTGACCGCGCGGTTACAACTAGTTAGGTGTTGCGTATCCAGGAGGTTTACGGTTCTTCATCTTTAGTGAATACTTTGAAGAGTGAGTTTGAAGATGTTTTTTTGTTTCAATATATGATTTTGCAATGATGACGAAGCGAAATACCTGCCCTCTGGTAGTATACTTTTTAACTTATTTAGTGAGTTTGATATTTATTTTATGTCATTTCTTCAAGCTTTAGTTCATATACAACATATTTTTAAATGAAATTCTTCGCGAACCACTTTCATGCAAACCTCATTTGAATCTAGTTCGAAAATATGAATATTTATAAACTTGTTAGTTTTTTATTAAATAAGTATCATAATACACTTGGGGACATTTGTTATGTGATTCTTAGTGAGATTTGCGTGTATTTTTTTTAAATTTTTATAATTAGAAATTTTTGATTATCCCGAATCCGTTTTTTCAATATTTGTAGTGTTGCATATATTTTTACTTAAATATTTAATGTGGCGCTTAGAAATAATAAATCTGCATTTTTTTTACTATTTTGTTCCTAGTGAATATTCTCAAAATTTAATTCGCGCTTTACAGCCTCATACAACCATTGTTACTATAGGCAGCTGTTCTTATTCGACGCGATCATATGTGTCTTTCTCGTCTAAGTGGGAGTCTAACACAGGTTTCTCATCTGCTACTTTACGATTACTATTAATTTAGTTCTGTTAGGGAAAAGAGCCAGTTTTGTTTTATTTTGTGGAAATATTACCTCGAATTAGTAGACAGCTTGCACATATATCTCAAAATGTAGTTACTTAAAATACATACGAACTAAGAAGGATTATCCTTTCGATCTGTTTGAAGCCTCATCATATAATACCGATTTGAAAGTGAATCTTAAATCTATTATTTTTGAGTCACATATAAGCCGTATCTGTATTAAGCTGTGCTTCGTCACCTCGCTTATAAGTAAAATATGAGAGCACCAGTAGGACTGTGTTAATGTGTTTTTCGATTGTTTCTTGATGCTGCAGAAATTGTTGTTAACTCATGCGATTATTTATTAACTTTATTAACTTATCTTTTCAATCATTTTCCCACTCTTTATTGAAATACACTTATTAATATAAGATCGTAAAATTGCTCGTGCAGCGTGGTTGATGCAACAAAGACTAGGAATAAGAATAGCGAAGGTGTAGCAACCATAACTGAGGAACTTAGTGAAAACTGGTAGAAAAATAGCATATGGCTGTTCACTATATCAAGGTGAACCAGTTGGAAATATGTATGCACTTTGAGATGCGCGTAACTTGTTTTATCCTCTAATGCTTATACTTAGATTAATAGTAAGTGGAATAGAACTTAGGATGAATAAGCTAAACCGTATTACTAGTACCGAAATTGTCGGTCCACAGAGCAATTACTTTTGGAATCTAATGATGTGAATTATGGTGTACTGTTTTGAAAACAAAATGTCATAAAACCATGTGCTATCAGCGTTACTTTTTAACACTGGCAGATTACCTTTCAGTCTCTGACATCCTGGTAGTTGAATCCATCTCTTGTTGTTTCTTATAGTGAGAAAAGATTCCTGCCTTCACCAGTGAAATTCAGCGTTATAAAAAATGCTAAATGAATTGAAATACATTTCGTGTTCTTCAATTTGTTTCGAACCTGCATTAGCTGAATCTAAATGAATCTAAATCATCACGTTCCCAGCTCGATCAGGAAACTAAAACCCTACTTGAGGAAGAACTAGCTAAACAGATATTTGAGTTCGGCAGCTGTGCTCACCCTCAGGAAGCTTGGAAGAATATTCAGTCAGCAATAGATACAGCTGTAAAGGTAAATTCAAAGGTGAGTAAAAACCATTGGGTCTCTGCCGCCTCATCCGAACTGATAGATGAACAGTGGTGGGCGACAAAGGCGAAAGAGATGGAAAAAGGATCGGCGATAGGCAACACTAGGCAACTCTTTAGACTCATCAGGGAAACGGGTGGGAGAAGACAAATCATCAGTGAGACAATCTCGGAAAAAAATGGCACTATAATTAGCTCCCAAGATAGACGACTGGATCGTTGGAAAGAGCATTATGAGGAGCAGTTTAATTGGCCCACAGCCACGCTCAACCTGCCGAACATCCAACACCTCCCTGAATAGGATATAGACACAGGTCCTCCATCCCTAACTGAGGTTACTAAAGCTGTCGCCAATTTAAAACAAGGCAAAGCAGCGGGACCTGATGGAATAACTCCAGAGGTATTTAAGTACGGTAGAGACAGTTTACTGTCTGCATTAACTGAGGTTCTAGGCAGCGTCTGGGAATCAGAAGAAGTCCCATCTTAAGTCCTAGGCTCAACAATCATATGTAGACTAAGCGGTGCTCGGGAGGCACAAACACGATAGAACCAGGCAGGCTTTAGACCAGGAAGAGGGTGTATTGGTCATATCTTAACCCTCCGACAGATTCTAGAACATAGGCATTCCTACCGGCGCCAAACGATCACTGTATTCCTTGACCTAAAGGCGGAATTCGATTTTGTCGACCGGGAGGTTCTCTGGAGATGCTTGGCTGTAAAGGATATGACGAGAAAATACATTGCACCGATTAAGGCACTCTACTCTTACTCATACAGCCAGGTGAGGACTTACGGCGAGTTGTCATCTGAACTGGTGACGACTAGTGGTGTCCGTCAAGGATGCCCATTATCCCCTTTTCTATTCAACTTCATCATAGATGTACTAATGAACTTAACCCCAAGTGACTTCAGCGACTCAGGGATTGACTTGCTACTAGGGAATGATCTCGTTGACTTAGAATATGCAGACTATATAGTCCTTCTAGGCGAGGACTCTGACAAAATGCAGAGTCTTCTAAAAATCTTGAGCTGCAATCTACGAATGTTTGGCATGCGATTCGCTCCCGCCAAATGCAAGATGATGTTACAGGACTGGACTACAGCGACTCCTAGTTTACAAATAGGAAGTGAAGTGGTAGAGCACGTTGACCGCTTCTCTTATTTAGGAAGTACCATCAGCCCCAACGGGTTGATCTCTGGCGAAATCTCAGCACGGATACAGGGGCCTCGTTTCGCATTTGCTAGTTTACGCCGTCTCTGTCGTAGACATTATATCCGGCTGAATATTGACCAAAGGGCGGATGTACTGCTCATCAGTCCGCACCGTCCTGCTTTATGACTAGCTGTGAGACTTGACCATTGAGAGTGGAAGGCATGAAAAGCGTGGCTAGCTGTCTTTGATCATAGGTACCTGCGCTCCATCTCCCGTGTGAAGTCGTATGATAGGGTGAGCAATATTGAGGTGAGGCATCGGTCGAGTGCTAGGTAAGGAGGGGGATATCAGTCGACGAAGCTGTGAAGTTACAAAGACTGAGATGGTTAGGACATGTGTTACGTGTGCCTAGTCATCGCCTTCCTCGACGAGCAATGCTAGCGGATATAGGGTCAGGCTGGAAAAGAGCTAGTGGCGGTCAAACAAAAACATCGCACCAGTCGATGAAGTCTACAACAGTTAGTCTAAGCCTCGTAGGAAGGTGTAGACTTCCTGGTTGGGGTCCTCAGGACGGTAAAAACCAATGGTTGTAAACAATTGGTGACATGGCTCAAAATCGTTCTCAGTGGCTCAGATGCATCCCCTCCTTGTGATTTATGATTTCCAATGAAACTGTTTTGTCTCTTCCGTTGTCTCACCCCTCTGCTTACTGTCTCTATGATGCTTTTCTTGTACTTTCTTCTCTTGCTTTGTGTGCTACAAGGAGGGAGTGTGGCGACTTGAACTGCCGCACATACGTGCAAAGTTCTATGTCGAAAACGGACAGACAAATGATATGACCGAAGTCTGTCGTACGTGTACTAATTTCAGTCTCTCGGAACGTCTTCCGCAATCTTCATGTAATCATTTCACATCTTTTCTCGCTAACATGTGTGGATATTTGTCTGTCTCTATTTTGAAATAGGAAATTCTGAATTGGAACGCCTTTATATGGCTTTAAGCGTTTATTTGATTGGTATGTAAGATGGCAATTTGTCAGGCTGTAGATTAACTGTGTTTACACCAGTGCAGTTGTGACCCATCAAAAAGTTGTCTGTTTCAGACTGAAGATGATCCTTTAAACTACTCATTTTGACGTAGTGACTACTTATATATATATATATATATATATATATATATATATATATATATATATATGATACTTGGGATACCGTATTGGTTTGTTTTAGAATTCTTATTCATTCACTGATTTCCTTCATGAAATAGTCTACCTTTTGCTCTTGAAAGTTTTAATATTATGATATAGGGCTTATTCTTAGTGCTAAGTGAGTTTACTGTTTCGGGATTTACTTCAACAAAATTAACCTTATTTTTCGTGGAAATACAAAAGTAAGAAGCTTATCATCATATCGGAATTATTGAATTCGCCTTCTTTTACTTTTGCACCAGTTTCAGTAAGTTGCTTGTGTCTTAAAACATATTCTTAACTGAGCAAACTTCATTTTATGTACAAGTAAGAAAGTAATAAGTTTACTTAGTGTGTACGGTACCGTTTATAAACGCTTGGTAAAGGTTGAAACAACATGTATAGCTCCCAAAAATATCTCACTGATATTAACTTAAGCATTTAGTACAATGTGTTGGACGAAACATAGTCATTTGACCGAATGGTATTTTCTAGCATAACAGAACCCCTTCTCGTAATTATTTTAATGACATTTTGCTTTTAGTGATTGCCAAATTTCAGTTAATTAAGACTGACGTTTCCTGGAAATGTATTGAACTATTGAAATAAATAGTATATATTTACGTTGAAAACTGACTAACAACAGACAATTTGTCATGGTGGGACATATTTTTAGCTTGGACTATGAATATTCTGACAAGTGAAACATCTTACTTCTTGTGTGAACCTCCATAGTGTCCAGATCTTTATTATGGAAAGTAAGGCTTGAACAGTTTTATTTAAACGCAGAAAAAACTTGGTACAATATGACACGAAGAAAGATGCGCCACATAATAATAATAAAACAACATAGATTCAAAGTAAAAATATAAGTGGAGAACGGATGAAGAACTTCATCTGGAAGGAAAACAGTCATGCTTAACAAATTTAAACAGTAATCGTTAACTATCATCAGGAAGGGAAGAAAAAAGGAAATTGCAACACATTCGCCATTGAAGTAGAATTCGTTCACATGTTTTTTCTAATCTTACTTCACAGTTGTTTCAAGTGACGTTAATCATATCATGGCACATTTTTCTAACGAATTTGTAGAGTTGTGAATTAAATGTTCTTACTTATGACAAAGGTATTTTTCACGTATATTATGCTGATCATATCTTTAAATTACTGGGTACTTAAAAGATATTTTTTATCTCGTTACAACGACTATCTCCAGTAAACAAGTGAAATGACCCGTGGTCCCCTGTGCATTTTTGTGATATTCATTTATGTTTTGTGGTTCCTGTTAAGTTTACTATATGTCAGTGGTTATATGATTGGAGTTGGCATATATGACATTACTGGTCCGGTCGCTGAAATAAACATGGTATGTATAATACAAAGTCAAGCGTGCAGCAAGTTAATGTGTTTCGTTAATGTTATACTGTTTTTGGCTGTAAAGTTTATCTGCATATTTTGTTGTAAAAATTATCAGATCTTTCTCCCAGTCACTTTTACCAGTGTCTGTAGTCTATTCCGTAATAATCCACAAAGTTCATTAACCAAGAGTTAATAGGTTAATACTTAAAAGCGAATTATCCACAGGGTATCCACCACAAATCTACAACGCTATAAACAGATGTACCATCATGAAAGTGCAAACTTGTAACATTTTCTAACTTTGGTTGTTGTGTTTTAAGGTTTGTAAATTATAGCAGGTTGCTTTGCTATGCGGTTATAAAACAGATTATATATATATATATATATATATATATATATATATATATATATATATATATATATATACATAATGTTGCATCAGTATTCCAGTTTGCAATTTTAAAGGGAGGAAGTCAGAGGCATGATTTGTATAACTCGGGAAAATTAAGTTGAAGTGAATAATGGAGATATAGATATGATAGAGAAGATTTGTAGCTCAGGTGGATGATTTTGATGTGGTTTTGTTCTCTGAGCTGGATGGTTAATTTGCGAAGCTTTCATCACCCTACTGGGTGACATCTTCAGCACATACTTCAATTTGAAGTGAGCTTTTAGATTTCTCCACGAGTTTATTAATCATCTCTCCTGGCGACCTTGGACGTGATTGGTTGTTTATGTGTGTTTTCACACCTTCTAGGTTACTTGTATTTGAACTGACCGTTTCTTTGACTTGAACTTTGACCCTTTGTATGTGAAGTTTCTTTCTTATTGGTTGATAAATTTTGTCTGTCTCTATGTGTCTATTGATTGATGATTCACTGGAATGCCAAGCTTCTGAAAATTCTCTAGCATTCTTGTTGTTTCCTCTGTCTAATATTTGAACGTTGTCCCAGTCGAACTGATGTCCGTGGTTGTCTGTGTGTAGTGATATGAGGGAGTGGATATCATGTCTTTTGATGGCTAACTTTTGTTCGTGGATACGAAGACGAAGGGGACGTCCACTTTGGCCAATGTAGTGTTTTTCGCAGTTGTTACAATTTATTTTGTAGATGATGTTGGTTTTATCTTCTTTCACTGTTGAGTCTTTTGGTTGACATAGAATTGAGTGAAGCGACTTTGTTGGTTTGTGTACGACGTCAGTTCCTAAAGGTTTGAAGAGTCTTGTAGGGATTTCTGAGATATCCTTTATGTATGGTAAGGCGATTTTCTTTGTGTTTTCCTTGGTGGCTTTTGCTTTGGTAGGTTGGCTTGGAGGTATATGTTTTTTGATGAAATTCCGTGGATATCCATTCTTTCGGAAGACGTCCATGAGGTACTTTTCTTCAATGTTCCTTAAGGTGGGAGTGCTGCAATGAGTCCTTGCTCTCTTGAATAGTGTTTGTATGCAATTCCTTTTGTGTGTTATTGGGTTGTTGCTGTTGTAATTTAGGATTTGGTCTGTGTGAGTTGATTTCCTATAAACTTGAGTTTCTAACTCCCCTGTGGTTGTTCGCTTGACTAAGACGTCCAAAAATGGTATTTTGTTCTCGGATTCCTCTTCTCTTGTGTACGTCGATGACACATTTGTAATAATCAAAAGAAACGAGTTAGATAAAACTCACAACTTAATAAACAACGTCTTCAACGACATCAAATTCACAAGAGAAGAGGAATCCGAGAACAAAATACCATTTTTGGACGTCTTAGTCAAGCGAACAACCACAGGGGAGTTAGAAACTCAAGTTTATAGGAAATCAACTCACACATGACGTACAGATTTCATGTTATAGTCCTAACATACTTGAAAATCTGTATTCTGATCAAGTTTTGTTCGAATTTTATGTGAGTATACTGAGGTATGGTTGGGATGAGGTTAGTGTGTGACCGGTCCTGACACAGTTGTATTAAAAATCATAACTACACCATAGGTATTGTTTTATGCATCTCTTTTATAAAGAAATTATATCCGGTGAGGGAATTAGGTCAAAGGTGTGAATACATGAAATAATAATAGTATGAAATGCAATTAAAATATTTGTGATTATGATCATAGTTTAATGTCAAGTGGCAAAATAATTAATGTCATATATAGAATATAGATTTTGGAAAGAGGTATATAATTATAATATTAGACGAATATAAAATGTTACATAACATGGTGTGAAATTTGATAAGATAGAATTCAATATTGTAGAAATAAATCTATACACCCGATGTATTATTCTATATATGACATTAATTATTTTGCCACTTGACATTAAACTATAATTGTAATCACAAATATTTTAATTACATTTCATACTATTATTATTTCATGTATTCACACCTTTGACCTAATTCCCTCACCGGATATAATTTCTTTATAAAAACATATATATACAATTGTACAGCTTGATAATAAATTCGTTGAAAAGAGTCTTTTCGCTGAATATTGTGTTCTTAATGCTACAATGAGAATTATTAGATTATGCATGTCTGTATGTAACTGAGTGTGATGTGGTTAATACAGTTGGTGTACATCGGAGAGAAGCGAAATAGTTGAGAGAAAACGAGACGACTTTCCTAAAATCCCAGTTAAAAGTAATACCCATCTGGCTTTTTCATTCGATTTATGGGGTGACAATCGTTAATCAGAGATTCAAGGTGGTATTAGAAATGTAGGAATAATAATAATACCAGATTTTCACCCAAAAATTAGAAATTCGATCATCCATTCTTATCTATTAACGGGATTATGACTCATTACATGTTCCACGTCGCATTCCATTTCAATATAAATGTGTAGTGAGTTAACTTTAATGGAGGAACCACTTTACCACCTCTTCCATCATCCCTTTGTAATACTTATTTGAGTGACTTCTGAAAAGATATGTGATATGTGTGTTGCTTCAGCAAGTTGTCATAAATGTTTAGTAATAATGTAAGTCTCTGCAAACTGTCTACTTTTCATTCTGTTTACCATTGGTCAGATGGGTTATGGCAGTATGAAACAAATCAATGATGGACTTCATCTAAGATTATTCAGTCGCGCATTTGTTATCAAAGATAATGTTAGTTCTCAACCTATCGTCATTACAATATTGGATGCTGGTATGGTATCACAAGCAGTAAAAACTGAGGTGCGTTGTTTGCATTTTATTACACACGTGTACAGTAGACTGAGTAAAATTATTCAATTCCATAAAAAATTCACAATCAAAAAAATAATTTAACGTTTATATTCTGTTAAGAAACTGTGGGTGGTTTCTCTGTGGTTCAGTTTGTCATGTATAAGCTTTAGTGGGATAAGCACTAGTGGCGGTAGATGTAACATAAAATATACTAATGTCAACTGATAGTGTACTATATTTTCGTTCACTCAAAGCATTCACCACTACATCAGTTGGCCGACCTGAAGTTCGTTCTGGTTGACAAGGTATGTGTGTGTAGTCTTAAAAAAAAACGATACTCTTCATGAAGTAAATATGTTTACCGATGAAAAATCAGTTTTAGGTCAAGGTATTTCAACAAAAGTCGTAATTAAAATTATGAACAAAATGATAAATAAAAAAAAAGAACGGACGAACTTAGATTCTGATTTTATATCATTTGTACGAAAATACTGTATAAATTCATTATGCATCATCGTTTTATTTTCAAAGATAGAAACAAGTTTTATTGATATAAGTTTGTTATACAGTAATCGTGTTAGACTTTTGTCCTAGTGGCTTATCTTCTTAAGTTTTTGCCATTGCCACCTTAGGAAGTAGATTGAAATTTGTTCAATTATTATTCACTTTCACTTTTAGTTAAGTTGATTTCACGAGCCACAGGTGCTCATGACAAAGTAGTTTCAAATTCAACTGAGATTAATGTTGAGTGCTGCTTGATTTTCAGTAGTTCACTGTTTGATGAAAATTTGTGTTGGATACCATGAAAACAGTTGATTTCTCCATAAAAATCTCGTTGAGAAAGCAATGTACTAACTTCCATGTTTACAGTTAAAATGTAATTGACTCCATTTTTTTGAAATGTGATTTTGCAGGTTATCCATCGGTTAGGTAATCATTATGGAGATAAACTTTTCACACATCAAAATGTCTTACTTAGTGCCACTCATACTCACTCTGGGCCTGCTGGTTACTTTCAGTATCTACTTTATTCAATCACATCGCTTGGATTTGTATCTGAAACATTTGGGCCGTTAGTTGATGGAATTGTTAAGGTACGTTTTTCCTTCTTTTTTCTGTAAAAAACAGCAAACCGTGGCTTACTCTTTCTTCGTTAGTGCACCATTTAAAAATGAAGTTCGTTCAAAGCATATGAATTGTGTCTATGAAGAATGTACGTCATAATATCAATGGAAATATATCACTTAACCTGAATTTCTTACGTCCCTCATATTTATATCGTTTTTTGGTGTCATTTCAAAGGCTTATTGCGGAGCCTTATTCTCACCATTCATGTTTGTGCAATCTCAACACACAATTCGGTGTGTAATAGTCTTGGGCTAATGTCAATAATCCACTAAACTACTTGCAAAAATCACTACACTACGTTTTACGGCAGGCAGACATCTAGACAAAATCTTGGTAACTGTCGCAGGGGCCTGTTGTCTTTCTACACACAAATGCTGCTAATTACTAAATGATGGAAATTCAACAAAATCATGTCATTTATACAAAGTTTTCCTATTTGAATAAGATGCTGATAAAAGTTTACTTAAAATAGCTATTTCAGGACTTATTCTAGCTAATGCCAATTCATTATCTTTTGTTTGCAGTTATAGTTTAACTCAGAGACAAGTCAGGTAGTTGCTCAACACCTTTTTAGTAAGTTGTGTATCTTTTACCTGGAGGTTCGGTTGTATTCTTGATATTCATTGGCAAAGCATGTCTACAGTAATAATAAAACTCGACTCAAGTTTGCGAAACGTTATTGAAGCTAGGGAATTTACCATTAACCTATTCAGACCATGTTTTAGTCTTTGTGGAACTTGTTGAAAGAAGAAAGTTAATCACCAGATAAAAATCCATGCAGATGTCTACTCGTAAACGTTCCTCAAAATTACTCCAGCATGTTTGCAATGTAGTCACTAAGCTAAGTGACGTACCACCGCCATATATCATGGTTCAATGTAATTTGATATCAGCCGTTAGTTGTTAGTAAATCTCAAAATCTTCGATACTTTGGAATCTGAAATCGCATTCATAAAAACACAAGATTGGTGATTAGTACCAGCAAGGACAGAAACGAAGTCTGGGGTTCTCTACCAACTTACTTCTCTGAACATCTAATAACAAATTGTAGTATACTGTACTTCACTATACTGTTTTGTAACTTAGCCTGTGATCACACTGCATGTCTGGACAAATAGATTTTGATCAAGGCTTAGAACTAAACTGCACAGAATCCAATTCACATAAATTTTCTTTGTAATTATATACTTTCGAACACCATGTAACAGATTCGTATCGAAATTCTTCAACTCATTTGCCTTAAACTGGGAGTTCAAAGTCCAATAATATATAACCTTGTGGTTAAACTTTCTATCACTCATGTTTAGTGGGTTAAATGGATTATTGGTAATTTTTATCATAAAATGTGTCTTTTAAGGTCATTGAATGATAATTATAGCTGGAATCTGATATGAAATAGTTTATATATTTGTTATGACTGTATTCTCATCACCACATCTGACGTAAAAATGAGAATTATCCTTTTAGTTTATAAACTTAAATTGATCGGATTTTAAATTTATCATCATACTGGATTTTCTATTAGTGTATCAGCCACTTACTTGACCATTTTTATAGTGATAATTTCGTTTGTATAATTGGAGGAACCTCAAAATAATTCTAAGTTCAATCACAAAGTGATATCATTCTGGGAACCATTGAAAACTAGGGATTACTGGATAGCTGTCTCGTCTTAACTTGGAGTTCTTTAGCAGCACTCATGCATTACGCCACCTACCGGAGGTCAAGCCTAACACCTTCAGGTTACGAGGCCGCCCTCTTGACCATTCCGCCAGTGGGAAGGTATCCAGTGACACATTAATTCTAAAATACTCACCTTGCAACCCAAAGGTGCTGGGTTTGACCCTCTATGGGGTAAATAGGTGCATATTGCTGCAAAGTCCAAAACTAAGGCGGCATAACTGTCCAATAGTCTCTGGTTCTCAGTGGTTTCCTAACCGAAGTCAGTTCGTCATAGAACCCGAAACTGATCGAATCCCTGCAAACCAACACTTTAGAATTTATTGGAGCTGAATTTCTTCCGACAGACATTTGCCTTAATTCATTATTTGGTTATCTCTAGAAAGAGAAGCCTCATCTATCCTGCATACTTAAGAGTTCTGAAGATCTATTCTGAGAAAATAATCAAAAAGTAGTAGTTGATATAAGAAATCCTAGGAGATGTTTCAGTGAAAACACTAGAAAAAACAAATTAATCTTCCAGTTTGAATACAGATACATTAGTTAGAAAACCATTGGAAACCAGGGAGTACTGGATAGCTGGGACAGTTTGGCACTCTTCGACAGTATGTACCGCCAGGGTTCGAACCCAGGACCTTCCGGTTACAAGGCAGCCACTGGGACCCGATCCAGTTACCCATGAATTCTAACTTTTACCAAATTGTTATTTTAATGTGACCACCAGGCAATGTCATCGGCGAGTACTTGTCCACACTCCCGACTGGGTGGACCCCACTTGTCACGATTTCTCACTAGAACTTCAGGCAACTTCGTCCTGCAGTCAGTCATAGGCGAGCATAAGATTAGTTTCCATTAATTTGTTTGTAAGAACCAGTTCCAAACTAGGACGAAACAGTTGTCCAGTACTTCCGTGTTTTCAATAGATCTCTAACTGATATCAGTCCATGTTCAAACTTAAAACAAGTCAAATCCATACGAACAAACTATTGAAAATGACTCCTCTTCAAATTATAATGATTAAAGAAACAATAATGATAAACTTTTCGATGAACGAAGGTATGGTTACTGAAGTATTGAATAATAATTTATCAAAGTGCATCAAGAGAACTTCCTATGCCGCCAGCGTGCTTTTGGCAGTGTGAAGTACAGACCACTGCATTCCTTGATCTCTTTGTATATGCGTTTCACATAGTCCTTTGTAGCCGATTATACTGAACTGCACAGGCAAGTTTATCATGGATGCCTTGCTAGATGTTATCTGGTTCAGTTGACAACAGGATCACAAAAGCTTTTATTTGCAAATATCTTTTGTAGCAAAGTCATTTATCTCTCCAAAACTTATCTACTGAAGTTAAAGCGATAATTAATTAATCCAAAAGTTTAAGCTTTTATCATTTATGTATACTTCAAGCATTAGTTATACAGGAAAAAATCCAATATCTTCATTCAAAAAGTTCTACAGAACCAATATGTTTACTGTAGCCTTATTAATGCTCTTTATAGTTAATTCCATTTCCTTTCGCTTTATCTTGGCAATCCGCCTTTAACTAGTGAATCCCACGTTTGAAACTTTGTCCATCTTATTCAGTCCGTCGACTTGTTAGTTTCTTCAGCTCTCGCACAATAAGTCTATTTGATAGTCGAGTACAATAAGAGATACATCTGATATATATATATATATATATATATATATATATATATATCAGATTCTTAAAATAACTTATTTTGATTTGCATACACCAGACCATACTGTCAAGTATATACGTGGCAACTCGAACTGCTGCACTTAGGTGCCAAGTTCTATGTTGAATCCAGGTATATAATTTTTTCAATGTTTTCAGACTGCACTCCGCATAGACATTTGAGAAAAGAAAGCAAAAGAATGTCGGAAATTCTTTTATTCGAGTGTTATTACTTCACAGATGAAGATATTAACAGATATTAGAGTGCACCATCTTTTAAGACTACTTGAGCACTGTAACACTTTTCTTGTTTTGGTTCAAAATGTCCTTACTATACAAAGAAAATTTACCTTCTGATCACTAATGACTCAACATTTCGCTTCATTCACAAAATCTCCAACTATTTCCTAATTTGCATGTCACGGAGTTAGCGATTCACTTTCGGATTTGGTATTAGTTGATTCCCAATTTTTTTTTATTTTTTATTCCTTTACGTTCCCAGTGGAACATAGGTCTCCAGGCTAGAGGCTTGGAGTTTCTGTAGCAGTGTTTATTTTTACAGGATGGGGTTGCTGGCCTCATGCCCAAACTTCCCTCTTTACCAGTCTTATTACTGGCTTAGTGAAGCAAAGGAGTGCGTCGGCCGGGGATCGAACCCCGGACCACATGCATAGTTGGCAAGCACTCTGCCGCTGTGCCACCGACGCACAGTTGATTCTCAATGCTATTACTATAAAACTACAGGACTGGTTCATTTACGGTAGTCACTAGAAATTTCCCCACAGTCACATTATCATTATTATTATTATTAATGTAAACAATTGGTTTTGTTTTGATTTTGATTCTTTCTAGAGTATTATTCAAGCTTATTCTAGCATACAAGAAGGGCGAATTTTAAAAGCTGAAGGAGATTTGCATAATGCTAGTATCAATCGGAGTCCAGCGGCTTATTTAATGAATCCGCCTGAGGAAAGAGCAAAGTTAGTACCACTATGCTGTTGTGAGCATTTAATTTTAAAATATTACTAATAATTCCTAATGGACCAAACCAAATCCACAGAGTATATTTTCACACTCCTTTCCATCCATATTTTAATCATAAACCAATTTTAAAAGGGTGAATTATGTAATTAGGTGATGATTGGATTCAAAATGAACACTTATATCACAGGAACTTGTAGACTTCAACATAAATCTTGTAAAGTATCACTTTATGATTAACCTACGTCTTTAAATTCATTTATTAGTCTTTCTAGTGATAGATTTCTGTTAGAATAAGAATTTTGATGTCATTCAGTAATTATAATGATACAAAACTCAGATCACTTTTCAGGACTATAAACCATAAATGATTAAAAACGCAGCTATACTATTAATATCGGCATTTTTTGAAGAAACTCAAATTTTTAGTTGCTAGAGAGTGTGTGGTTTCCTAGGATTTGTTTTTCTTGAACCTCAATCAGTCTTCACAGAACTGTGAAACCTAGAATTTTAGATATTATGTTAGTCAAGCTGATTTCTTCCGTGTTTATCGCAGTAAGATTTATCTCCTTTTTTAGAAACTAGGATATTCAGCGGTCTAAACCACTCTTATGAAATTCTCTCACAATCCCATTCTCTAGCCAGTACCCAAGTTAATCTGTCCAATATTTCATAACCACAGTCGTTAAACACTTCTGATCTGAATGTTTGTCGTTAACGGTTTCTGATCCTGACTGTTTTCGTTCGATCTTTCTTGTCAGGTGGCTGAATATAGAAAGTAATTATTTTGTTGGATATATAAAGTTAGCTGGAGATGTAGAGCCGGTTGATAAGATTGAGAAATACCGTCGGTTAAGATGTCCAAGGTGTGTGTTGCACTTGCCCAGCCACCGCCTTTTTTCAATGAGCAATGTCAACCGAAGCAGAACTAGGCGGAAAAAGGGCTAAAGGCGGTCAGACAGAAAAATGACTATAATGCATAAAGTCTTTTGATATGAGTTTGAGCTATATAGGGATGTATCGACTGTTTGAGCGCCGTCCTTGGGATGTTAATAAACATTGGTTGGATACAGTTGGTGACGTAGTTCAAAATCTTTCACAAGGTGCGGATGCAGTCACTACTTGTAGTCTCCCAGGTTCTGAAAATTTTCATTGCTTTTCATCTGATTGTTCTTTCTTCTATTCACCTTTGTCTAATGCAGTTTCATTACATTTCCTTCCTTTAACTTTACATAAATGCTTTTCCAAAGTGTAGCAATTTGAACTGATAAATTAGTGATTTCAGATGAACAGTATTTAATATTTTATCTAAAAAAGAAATCTGTAGAGAAATTATGGTAACTCTAAACTTGAATTGCATGCGTGTCAACTGACTCACTACTTTAATTCACCGAAAAGTGGTAGACGTTCTAAGGATAAACTGTGATACTGATTAAAAAAGGTATCGTCAATTGAAACAGAACAGAGCAGAGTTTATCTGGTTAAAAAAGACATTCCCAAAACTTGATTTGTAAGAGTATGATTCATTTCAAGTTGCATTTCATCACTAACTAACATAAGTTCAATGGTTCTCCAATTGATATCGTTTCTTGATAAAGTCTAACTTAAAGTGAATATGTTTCTGTAATTTATAAGAAAAGTTTTAATCAAATATGTAGAACCTTATACCATGCAATAAAATAAACATCTTGGAACTAAGCAATCTTCTGGCAGAAGTACGAAAAGGTTTTACTCCTAATTTCTTTAAATCATAGTCATTTTTAATGTTTGGCTAGTTAGTTTAACAAAAAAGTAACGTAGATTGTTGTTTCTAATGTGAATTAAAGACTTCGGCAACCGATTTGTATATATATGTCACATAAAGGTGACAGTTGTGTTGCAAATAGATTAATAGTGGGTTGACGTTTTGAATTAGGTAATGAATATTGCATCATCACTTGATGTTTCAGATATACTCTACTAGTGACCACTAGCAGGTATTGTGTTGAAATCCAGGAGGTATTCCTGTCAAATGAATATTAATTTCTGCATTTAGAATTATTTTTATCTCATCTGTTTAGTTTTAAAACTAATAATAACCTGTTCGCCTGTAGTCGTACTTTCTCGGGCTTTGGAGCTCACACTTCTTACCTCGGACAGATCGACCGCTTAGTATCATCAGTCACTACACAATAATTATAGGTCATATTCTTGTAAATGAAAGATATATTCCGAGCAAATGACCTCAAAGGAAAAAGTTAAATACATCAACTCTTGTGTAACCAACATCCTGCTGATATCCAGTCTTTCCTCGTGATTTACTTCATTTTGTACTTATATCTGTTTTTAGATATAGCGATAATGTGGACAGAAAAATGACATTGTTAAAATTTATTGGTAAAGATGGTAAACCAATAGGAATGATCAACTGGTTCGCAGTTCATCCAGTCAGTATGAACAATTCAAATTCACTGGTTAGCAGTGATAATAAAGGCTTAGCTTCAATTTTATTTGAGCAGAAAATGAATGGCGATCGAATGCTAGGCAAGGTTAGTTAGTTAGTTATCTAGATATTTATTTAATCACAGATTTTGATTGACGATATGCGTTACCGTGGTGTTATTAGACGTAACAAACAAAAATGTGATAGAATATTATTTATTTTAATTTTTTCGCCCACTTACAGAACATGTTTCTTATTTATTTCAAAGTTTCAACTAACGAATCTAATAGTCCATTCAAAAAAAGAATATCAGATACGTTAAAATTGTTCTATATATTTAAAAAAAATAATTACAATTGCACATTTATATTATGATATGATCACTGGGATCAGTGGTTGGTTTTCATTAGAGGAACAGGTAATAATAGAATTGAGAAACCTTTATGCTTGTCCATCTGCTACATCTCATTCAGTCGTAATATCCACATTTGTTTTTCACTCCTTGCGTCCAATCTTTGAAGTTTTAGTAAGGATGCTGTTGTTCTTTATATGGTGTGAAGTTGCTAGGCTTACATCCAGACTTACTAATGCCTAGTAGATCAAGTGAGATTTTGAAGTGTGTCATCTAGGAATCGAACCCAGTCCTCCTGTGTAGTTGGTGAGTATTCTACTAATGAACCAGTAACGTACTCACTTAGTCTTGAAATCGCATATTTTGTAAATAACCAGTTTGATGTTGAAACTCACGTTAAAATATAAAGCACTAATATCATAAATAATAATAAAGGTGAGGCACTGTCAATATAACATTTAGCCTACTGAAGGCAGACTCACAGTTGCAACAGTTGCTTCTTTTTCAATACTTGTTTTGGTTTTCTCTTTATTATGACAAAGGGTCCATTCGTAGCTGCTTTTGCTCAAGCTAACGAAGGGGATGTCTCACCAAATATCGATGGTCCTCGCTGCATTGATACCGGCTTACCTTGTGATTATATACATAGCAGTTGTGGTGGACGTGTAAGTTACTGTCGTCTATTCAATAATGCCGCTTTCCTTTTTGACAATTTAAACATTTAGACTCAAAAGTGCATTGCGTTTGGTCCTGGCTCTGATATGTTTGAAAGTACAAAGATTATTGCTCAAAGACAATTTGATAAAGCATGGGTTTGTTGTATTACATTTTATCTTATAATCAAACTGTAACCTTGCGACAGACGTTATTTAATGAAGCACATACCGAAATAACGGGACCTGTTGATTATATTCATCAGTTTGTCGATATGACAGGTGTGACTGTTGACTATATGGTGAGTGTGAAGTATCTTATTGATAAATATTTACAGGGTCAAAAAGGTAGTACCTGCAAACCAGCTATGGGTTTTAGTTTTGCTGCTGGTACCACTGATGGTCCTGGAGAATTCGATTTTGTTCAAGGTATAAGTTTCATTTCATTCAGTTGAAAGAACAGTATTATTATCATTATCAATACTTAACAACACATCTCCACTTTATTCTATTTAAGGCTGTCCTATTAAGCTGGGTCCACGATAGCCCATAATCTCTCATCTCCTCCCCACACGATCTCCATATATCCCTCACACCAAGGACCCATTCCTCCTTGCCTGCTCGGATTCCAGTCGAGTAGTGTCCTGCATTGAGCGCGCTATCATTTGGCGATCTCCTTACCGTATGCCCAATCCATCTCCACTTTCCACTGTTTATTTGTTGAGCAATCGGCTCTTGGTTAGCTCGGTGCCAGAGTTTCTTGTTGCTAATTTCTTCTGGCCGGTCATTTGATCTCCACTGAGGAGCAAGTGAAGACAGCTGTTGATAAAAGTCTGCAACCTGTTGGAAATCCTTTTCGTGACAAGCACGCCAAGTTTGTGATCCACATTGAAGAACTGACTGACTTCACATATGTGTTGAAAGTCCGAGTCTTGTTCTTTATGCTGGCTTAGTGCAGAAGATTTCCAAACTGGTTTCAGATAGATAAAAGTGTGTATTGACTTTCCGGTTCTGGCTTTGACATCTTCATCCGTTCTGCCTGCCTGTCTGTGGTTGAGACCGTGCTTCCTGGCTGGATAAGTGAAGAAAGTCTCCTCTGTCAAACCTCTTCCGTTGATGGTGATTGGTGCTTGTTGTTACTCGTTGGTTATCTTCACCACCGTCTTCTCTGTGTTCACCTGCAGTCCTGTCTTCTCTCGTTGTTTCTTCAGACATTTTGTTGCTTTTCGCCTGCCTCCAAGTCTTCAACTTTCTGTGACATTAGACATAAATCATCCACGCGCGAAATCGAACGTATTCCTGTCGTCTCACTCCCTATGCACAGTCTGATGCGTAATCCAGTCCACCACAATTAAGAATATCACCGGTGATAATAGGCAGCTTTCTCTTACTCCTGCATTCACTTCAAAGGTAGGCTTCGTTGAGTTTTCCGTTGTGGATCACCTGACACGTTGCATTGTCATATAGCCAGCCGGCGGTTGAATGAGGTTGATAGAGACTTGGGCAGTGTACGTCATAGTGTCGAGGCAGTTTCCGAATTACTTCTCGGTCAACGCTGTCTGGTGAAGGCATTTTCGAAGTCGATGGGGTTGAGGTAGAGGTTTGACTGCCATTCCATGCGTTGTTCTGTGATGACAATGCGGGTGCCTGCAATTGGATCAGCATGTGATCTGCCTTTGATGAATCCAGCTTGTTCTGGTGGGCGGAGTTCTGCATCCAGTGCATCTTCTATTCTCTCCAGGATGGTCCGACTTATTACTTTACTTGGCGTGGACAACAGCATTATTCCGCACCAGTTCTTTCAAAGTGAGGCCTGAGTCGCCATTCTTTGGTTGCTTGACAAGGTAGCTAGCCTTGCTTCCAATTGATGGGCACCTTTCCTTCTTTCCAAAACTTTAGTAGTAATGGCGTGAGCACGGCTACCGCAGTCTCTGGGTCCGTTCCGAGTGCTTGTGAGGCAGGGGAAATTCCATCTGGCACTGCTGCTTTCTCGATTAGACTTCAGTAGGTTGGTCGCATTCAAGGTTTCTGCTTTCATTGGGGGGAATTGGTGTCCGCTGGCAGGTAGGTCTGTGCGTGCTGTTGGTGGTGGTGGTGTATTTCTGGACGAGTTGCAAGTGATGGGCGATTCAAGAGTCCTTTGAAGTGATCAGCCTATTGTTTGATTTGTTTCTCCTCCTCCTTGGTAGTCAGGTTCCCTCGACACATCTCTTATAGTTTTCATCATCTGGGTTGATCTCTTCGAGGAAAGCGAGCAGTCTGGTTATCTAATATAATGTCCTGTGATCTCTTTTACCTACCGCCCACCTGCCTGTTCTGCTTCAGTTTCCGGCCAGTGTGTCAGAGAATTGTCTTTAGTCTCTCGCAGCGCTCTTCTTCACTTTTCTATTCAGTGCAGTGTACATTGAACTCCACTTCTCCTTCTCCTGTTGTGCATCTCTGCATTGAGTCATCTTCTCTTTCCCCATCCTCCTCTCCTCTCCTCTCCTCGACTAGCTTCTAGGTAGAAGTCCGTTGACAACCATCCCCTGTCGTGTCGCTTCTTTCTTCCTAGAATAGTTGCACACGTTTCCTTGAACATCACCATTAGAGAGTTCGTCCCGATGTTCTTCCACACACAGGTGTAGGTGTCCTCAGTGATAACGCGTAGTGTCTCCGACTTTGTTCTGATCTGATCTGTAGTGAAGATATCCCATGTAGTTTTGTCCTTCACTTTCTGCATGCTGAACCTAAGTTGTGGCCTGTCTCCAGTTGTTTTGAGGGATTTCAGCTCCACCTTGGAGGTTCCTCGAACCAGACAATGATGAGAGTCCACATCTGCTCCGCTTCTCAACTTTGTGTTCAGCAGGCTAGGTGCATCTCCACTTTCTTGAGTAACACTGAGACGAAGTCTATCTGGTTTTTGGTGGGCCCTTCATGCGAAATCCATGTTGCTTTGTGTATATCCCTGTGCTTGTATACGCTGACTCCGATCACCAGATCATTAAAAGCGTAGAAGTCTGCGAAGAGTTCTCCATTGCCATTCATTTCGTCCAGAGCCTCTCAACCCATGATAAGTTCTCTTCATGTATTATCTGGTCACAGTTTGGCATTCATATTACCCATAAGGATTTTGATGTCTCCATTTGGAATGTTGTCGACTACTGTTTGTAGTTGTCTATAGAAATTCTCCTTCTTCTCTTGCTCCGCGTTGTTTGTAGCAATGTGTGCAGCATTGGGTAATTGTGACCTGCCTTACTTCCTTTTGAGTTGAATGTTGCTGTCATGCTCCTGGATGAAATTGGTTCCGAATGCATAAGAGCTGTGGCTTCCGCTGGTGACATCATGATAGTCACTCACTGCCTCTGTGAGCTTGTGGTTGTCGTCTGGATGACCGGAGCAGACAACTGACTTACCAGTTGACAATTTTGATAGTCCACATCGATTCCATCTGGTGTCACAGATGCCCAGCATTTCTATGCCATATCTTCGCATTTCTTTGGCCACCTGGACAGCCGTCACGGTCTCGTGCATTACACGTACACATTCTTAATTTTGCTTTCATCGAGAGGAGATACATCGACTGGCTGATTGGTTTCCCGGAGGCTTTCACCAGCTCGCGTAATTTCGCCTCTCCTACTCCAACGAAGAATAAGAATGTTATTCGAATATTTAGTATTTAAAAAGAATTTTTCTGTGATAAAGTTTTGTCTAGCAGTTTGATATCCTTTGTGGTGTAGGGTTGCTAGGCTTACTCCTAACCCTCCCTCTTTACGCTGTTTTAATGGCGGCAACAATTCTGGGAAGTTGGTAATCTAGTCGAACTGTACTGATTATTATTTTATAGTATATAAATTTAGGTTTTCTTTAATCTGTAATCTCCTAATGGTTTTCCCGCTACTGTGTACATTTCATGATTGAATATTAATCGGGAGATAAATCAGCTATTTCTCAGTCGTTCATTCAGTCAGATGAAGTTGCAATGTTTGCAACAGTTAAATATTGTAAATCCGCCTATGGTTATTTAGTTGAAGGCTGATTCGTTTACCGCATACCATGTAATGATTGCGATATCATATACATACTTGAAACCAGCAGTACAAGGCCACCTAGGTTATTGTTATGTGGCTGGAATGATTGGCTCTGCTGAATTAAATAATCTGGGAAAAAGGTCGATCACTACAATGCATTCACTTCAATGTAATCACACAGTAGGTTGGTGAGACCGGATAAAAGTATTAAAAAGTGCTACAGTTAAGTGGAGGGAGAGGTTGATCTGATCAACGAATCTTCATTCAACGAGTCAATACCAAACACGTGCAATCGAAGTGACGCCACGCCTATCCCAGATGTATGGGGAATTGCAAAATGAAACAAGGGAGAGTGAAAAAAGGTATGTAGAGTAAATCAAGAAGCTGTGTGAATACACTGACATGATTATGAGTGATAAACTGTACACGAAACCTTATCCAGTTACTTATATTGTATTACTGTGTGTTATATGAAATAAACTTTCTTGAAATTGATGTGGTTCGTTGAATACTGTTATCGTATGGTATTTTCTTTTCTTTTAATTATTACTCTCAGTGCATTAAATCTATTTAGTTTTAAACAGTCCATCTAAATGCAATACATTTTACTTAAAGGTACAAAACACGGTAGCACATTTTGGACGATAGTACGTGATTTCATAAAAATACCAAGTAAAGCATTGGTTGAATGTCAAGCACCGAAACCAGTTTTACTTCCAACTGGAGAGGTAAGGAAAGTTGTGTTTTTCTAACTATATCATTGCGACTTGGGTGGAAGTATTCAAATGCACTCATGAAGATGAGGTTGTAGTATTAGCTGTTTAATTATATTAAATTGGTGTGTTTTTGGTGCTTAGTTGGCTACATTTAGCAGCAGTATTGTTTTCGTACGCGCTTGCGAATGCCTGAGTAGTGACCAGTTTCCTGTGTTGTTTTACATTCATTTTCTTTGTTCTGGAGATTACTATTCATATGTTTCTTTAGGTAAATCTTGTATTTCGGCTCCTAGTACGAAGGTTTAGACGATATCTAAAGATTAAAAGGATGTTATTTAGTAAATAGTAACTAACAGTGGAATGCAAGATGCTCATTTCGTCCTGTTTGGGACTTGTCAAGTGTGTGTGCTCACCGACGACTCAGGTGGCCCAGGGTTCGGTCCACGTCCGACGCACTCCTTTACCTCCCTAGAGGCCACTAGTAAGACTGGTAAAGAGGGAAGGTTAAGCATGAAGCTAGCAACCCCATCCTGCAAAATAATCACCACTGCTACAGGAACTTCAAGACTAGCTTGAAGCCCTATGTTCCACCGGGAACGTATTGGAATAAATGAAAAGCTGGATGTACCTACTGTCTTCAGTGAGTGATGGTCTTCTCAGTGAAACTCTAACTCAGGACACCCATCGTTTCAAATACCAAGGCGTTGTCCACAAGGCGACTCAGGGCGCGAATTTTTCATTTTAAATAATGTCTGGGATTTACGTTATTTTGGTTTATTATGCTACAAATCAATCGATGGTTATTTTATCACTTAATGTTTGATGTTTGGGTAAATTAGTTTCTTTTATCATTGTTATTGCTTATATACTAGTTTACTCTTAACCCTATATCTTTTGAATGAGTTAACATCGTGTCTTATACCGCCAATGACTACTACCTGCTTATTTGAAGTATTGTAAACCGTAAGAGTTTTAGTATATTTCTTTAGAGTTAAACTATTTATACTCATTTTATTTAGACTTTCAGTAAGCTGAATCCTCTTTCTTCAGTCAAATGAAATTAATATCATGTAGTCTACAAATGTGGTAATCCTTAGTTCTGATCAAAATCAGTTAACGGATTAACTGCCATTGTAATGAAATTACATTTCTTGAACTGTATGAAGATAAAAGTGGCTTTTGTAAATATGGAAACGTCAGATACTGTAAATGAATGTAACATTGACGCTTAGAACCATTTGTGAAAAGAAACTGTGGTATAACTAACACTCCCCTCCCTTATATGAATATTAACATGCTTATTTGTCACAGACAACTAACCATTTACTGAAACTGTATACTAAGTGGATTTCTTATTACTCATCTGACAATGCTTACAAAATACTGAATTCTTTACAGTGTGTTTATCACCATAATATTAATTTGTTCTATAAGATTTCACTAGACTCTCGGTAATTGTTTTCTCTATTTTTCAGATGACACATCCGTATCCCTGGCAACCATCTATTGTCGAAACTCAAATTCTTTCAATTGGACCTCTCTTAATCGTTGCTTTGCCAGGTGAATTTACTACTATGTCTGGAAGGCGAATTCGTAAAGCAGTCGCCAAAGTAATGTTTTAATATTCTTTATACTTTTATTTTGAATTCTTACAGGCATTTTTGATGTCTGTAGTTTAAAGTTTATTCAACTGTTATAGTACTATCTTTCTATTATGATCTTTGTATCGTTACATATTACTTTCATTTACCTTATAATATTCTAATTTTATACTGTAGTAATTTTCCAAGGACAAATGGTTTGACATTAGCATTCCAAACTCATACAAATGAAAGTCTCAACCTAATACACACGATTATTAATTCAGTGACAAAAGATTTCCCATGCATTTAAACCAATGTTAGCATTTGTTCTTCCATATGAATAAAATGAATCTTCATTCCAGAATGGAATCAAGGTATTTTGCTATTGTTCTCAAAAGTGTAACATTTTAAGTTGCCAAAATTGATTTAGCACACACAGGTAGAGATAAAAATTTAAAATAACTATAATGAACGGAAATATGCGACAGAAACAATAAATATGTGGGGAATAATGAGAATTCAATGAATTTGAGAGTTCACACAGAGTTAGTGCATTTGTGTCACTGAGATCCATTTTGAGTTCCATCATCAACAGTTTCCAGCCTCTGGTTCTTATCATTTTAAGGACACCATCCGGACAATCTGTACATCCCTACGTGACTTTAACGATGCAAGTCTTTGTTGACTGGTACGATGTCTTAATTTAACAATTCTTAACATCTGTCCAACGTAATCTTAAGTTGACAAAAAGTATTCGAGCAGGGATGTGGTGCGATGGCATGAGTAACACGTGTCCTAACCATCTGGATCTAAATGGCTTAACGACCTCTTCGATTCATTTTCCCTCCTTATCTAACACTTTACGCCTAATCTGGGTTTATTTTTTATTTTTATTTTTGATTACAGCTTGATTCCACACTGTATCTTTGGTACAAGTATGGAACTTTCAGCATGGATATCAGAAGCCCAAATTTTGCAGGCCGACCATAGATATCAGGTGTGCGTCGGCGGGTGCTCGAACCCCGGACCATGTGCATGGTCGGCGGCGGTTCCACTGTATCATACAAATGAGCACAGGTAATAGGACGCAGACACCTACAATCAAATGTATCTTCCGCTGTAATGGTTATGTCTCCCATCCATATGAGAGTACACAGCTAGTGTTTTATTACTGGTTAATAAAAGGCAGTAATCAGTAGTACATTGATAGGGACGTCTGTTTTTCGGTGCTTCTTTAGTTTTAATAGAATCACCGTTGCTTTATTTATTTATTTATTGAAGTCATTACTTACCAGCATTTCATATAATATGTATAAAAAATATTAATGCCTCAGGTATTGTAAAGTTGGTGTTTGACCTTGCATTGCTGTAATTTGTCTGTATAATTCATGTAATAGTCCACTTCTCAAGTACGTAGCTCGCACTCACTTTACTCATAAAACCTAAACACCTTGAATAATCTATACATAATTCTATAAATCTTAGCGTGTTTAAAATGCAAATAGGTTGAAATCATTTCAAGACCCTAACATTGACTCAAAGATAAATATTTATGCAACTTTCTGGTTAAATTTTAGCCTAAATGCATGTCACTTTGCCACCTTATCTCACTCGACCGAGCTTTTTGTTTCATTTTTAATCATCATGCTCATGTGTTTAAAATGTGTCTTTTTCATTATGTAAGCCAGTAAACTGATACATTGAATAGTATACTTTATAATTTCTGTAAACGGAGTAATGTTGTATCTAAATACATAAGCCTATTTGTTTAGTAAGTGTAACATCATTTGGTAAATTAAAATATGTATTCAATATGGTTTTTCAAACAAAACATCGAATGATCAAACATGTGAGTTATATTACCAAATATATTGATAACATTAATCTAGAATTGTGAATATCTTTTGGACTATAAAGTATATTTGTGTAAGCCAGCCTATATTTGCCAAACAAACATGTTGCTTGCAAAGGATGATATGATTGTTTGCTTATTTAGGCTAAAGTGTTACATTTTCATCAAATTCTATAAAATCTGTAAAATACTCAATATTTTGTTTATCTGTTCTTAACGTTTCCAATTACTGTGTGTTATCGATCAGAAAATGTTTCCTCAAATATCGTAATATAAAATGAAATCCTCCCATAGACGACTCTGTTGGCTATCACTTTCACTGAAGCCCTAGCTAGTCAGACCTGATGTATTTGACCACCAGCACTGATTAGTCTGCGTGGTTTCTAACTGTTGGCACTACTCAGCAGTATAAATCGTCTTATATACAAGTATTTCATAATTCATTGTATTTTATTATATGAATAAACAGTTTGTGACTACTTAACATAGTGTTATGCCTTTGCTAAAGATATCCTTATTCCTATTTTTTGTCAGCATTGCATGGAAATGAGTATATACAAAATAGAATTTTACACCCTTTAAGTTTGTACGCCCTAGAAGACTAACTCTATTAAACATAACACATGGTTTAATGTAAGGTTCATTTATTCATGATGTTTTAAACTCAGTTTACCCCTCATATAATAAAGGTAATTACATAACGTTTTGGACTTGTTTTTACTCTTCTGGTATTTTTCACTCCCTAGTTATACTGGTTTTAATGTTTCCCATATTTCAAGCATTCATGTTGCATGATTGTTATTATGAACATTACTTCCATGGAAAATAAATCAGTGAATAGGTTAGAAGATGTGAATGATAAAATTAAATAACGACGCTATTAGTAGTGATTTTATTCAAAAATGAATGAAGACCCGTGAGAAAAATAAGAGTAGTCATGAAACTGATGAAAATAATATAAATAATATGGAATTCAAAGCATCTATAATACTGTCACATAACAGAAGGAACATCAGGAGAGAGATGTAGGATTGTTAAGTAACTTGGAATTAGGGTGATAAACTAATCAACTTACTCAGAGACAAACTTTGTAGGCTTAAGGACCCGATAGATTTAATTAAGAAAAATAATATAATTTACTCAATACCATGTAGTAACTTTCGGGTCAGACTTATAGACAAGGCCATTCACATTATTGGGACATAAGAATATACCTAAAGCTGGAATGATTGGCTCTGCTGAATTAAATAATCTGGGAAAAAGGTCGATCACTGCAATGCATTCACTTCAATGTAATCACACAGTAGGTTGGTGAGACAGGATAAAAGTATTAAAAAGTGCTACAGTTAAGTTGAGGGAGAGGTTGATCTGATCAACGAATCTTCATTCAACGAGTCAATACCAAACACGTGCAATCGAAGTGACGCCACGCCTATCCCAGATGTATGGGGAATTGCAAAATGAAACAAGGGAGAGTGAAAAAAGGTATGTAGAGTAAATCAAGAAGCTGTGTGAATACACTGACATGATTATGAGTGATAAACTGTACACGAAACCTTATCCAGTTACTTATATTGTATTACTGTGTGTTATATGAAATAACCTTACCTAAGATGGAACTGCAGTATATTGTCCAAACTCTATACTTGCATATAGTATTATTCTTTAATCTTTGTTTTACTGCTGATTAGTATGAGCATTACCGCTCTGTGAATAAGTTGGATTATATTTGAATGAAATTGTTTCCAACAAGCAGTTTTAGAAATGTAGAGTCCATTTTCTTTCCAATTAGTAGAAGAATGTCTGTATTCATGGATCTTTTATAAACGAAACACAAAAGAATAACCTGTCCATTATAGATAAGATTTTATTTTGATAAATCGCACAGTGTTTACAGTTATATGAGTTATATCAGTTCATATAACTGTAAACACTGTGCGATTTATCAAAATAAAATCTTATCTATAATGGAATTATACTCTACCACAGTGCCCAAGTTTTATACTTATATCAAGAATAACCTGTGTCGATGAATCTGCTTGTTCAGAGAATTGGCACTTCTTTTTATATTAATGAAACATTCGAAGACAAGAAAGTTACAAATCTAAAGTTCATTATTTAATGAAAGTTATGAAAAAGTTGTAATGTAATTTTGTAGCATTTTATGTACACAGAAAGAACCATTTCTTCATAGAATCAAAGCTTATATTACAAATTATAATTTGCTTAATTAAGAGAATGAATATTTTAAATCATCAAGGTTTTCTTTTGCGAGAGACGCACATCAATTCGATTGAGTTTAATTATGTATCTTGATAATTCTTAACTGTAAATCTATGCTTACCTGAAGTGTGTGCATAAATTTTAACAGCAACAGTTATGTGCATATTTTGCTCATTTTCAGATTTTTAATCTACTTGACAATCACTAAAATTTTCTCAAATTATGAGTTTCTAATAAATGTCCATTTAGGATCAGATGACTGATTGTGTAAATTTTCTCTGTAGAAATGCGTAGTAAAGTTCAACCAAGCTTCACATTATCACACACAAAAAACAGAAAAAATTTCAAAGAAATTGTGATAAACGGAAATATGCTCAAGATAGAATAATTTTATTGAGAATAATGATAATTAGATGGATTTGGGAGATTATTAAGGGCTCAGACACTTGCCAACAGTCTTTAGCCGCTGGTTGTTTGGGTTCTCGATGGCACGGGTAATTTACATCTCCCTAAGTGAATCAAAACAACAGTTTTATTTTGAATTGACAGCTGCTTACTCTTTTTCGCTAACATTGCTATGGCAGGGGTTCGACATGAGTAACACATCTAGCCATTTTAGGAAATGGAGCTTCAAAAATTCATCGACTGAATTTCTTCCTTTCCAAACACTCAAAGCCTACAATTGGTGGATGGTGGCTAGCAGTTCAATTCAATACTCAAAGCCTAACCTAAATTTTACTAACTACATTTCATCACTTTGCACAAAAAATAGAACTCAAACATATATAGTTGAAGACAACTAACATCTTCATATCCTTCATTTACAGTGGCCTTATTTCACAAAATGGAACGATCAGCTACACAGTACACATGTCCTCTTCACCCTGAACTGCAGTCAGTTAGGGTGTAAGTAGCAATTATAGAAAGGCATCAGCGGGTGTCACACAGATGGTGTGTATTGGCGAATGATGATAGGTTTGTTCGGAAACTCAGGCAGTGCGATTAAACGTCTTTAGAAATAACTTGATCACTGTTAATCTCCGCAGCTGTACATATATCAGTTTCAGTTATAATTTCGTGTTTGTCTACTGTCAATGCATAATATAATCTATTTAACTATGTTTACTGAGAATGTTTACATTAATCTGTTCACCCTCAAGATGTATCGATGCAAGCTAAATGTAGCAAGATGACTTTATAGTTTCAACCAACGCATTTATGGGAATGTTGGAACTACTGAGTCGTGTTTACTTACGTATCATTTAGAGCGTATAGCGCGCATACACTGAATCATTCTTGAACTTTTCTAAAGTTAACGTAGATAAATGGCTGAAAATACCGTAAATTCAAAGCAGATAATGCATTTTTAAAACTAATCAAAATTTTAGGTAACACCTAGAATTCACTTCTTTGTCTGGAAATCACCCCTGTGAAATTAGAAGCTTATGACTTAGAATGGCGTTCTTTTTACCTTAAGAAGCGAATTTCCGCACTTCATTTAATGTTTTAGGCTTCAATGTGATATCTTTGCCAAACCGAATTCTTAATTGCTTAAGCCTTCATCAATGTTTCGTAAGGCTTCTGCTGAAGTTGTCTAGTGGCTGAATGACCAACGGATTCACTTCGTAATCTGAAGGTCCTAGCCCTAGCCTAGTAGGGTCATAGGTTAAGAGCCCCAAACTAGAATGAGAAGGCGTGTGTGTCTGCATAGGTGGTCCGGATTCGGTTCTCGGCCAACGCACTGCAAAAGTGTACCCAGTTCACCAACCAGCAGTAAGCCCGAAATAGAAAGGAGATTGGGTGAGAAGCTAGCAAACCAGCCTCGTAAAAATAACACTGCAGTTAGTGAATGGACGAAGTCTACATCCCTTCGCCCCACCCAAAAGGCAGGCGATGAGAATTTCACGACTCAACTAATCCACTTAAGCAGTGCCTCACCAGCATTTTTATTTTGTTTGGTTTCACAGGTATTCTTTTATTTTTTGTAGATGAGCTAATTGAACTGAAGGTGTTCAGAGCATCATTAGTTTATTTAATACACTTATTATAATAAAAAGCCATGCTTATTTATTTGTTCGACTTAACAGTTTGCTGGATGGTATCAACTGTTAATAACTCCTCAGGCGACTATTTACAAACAATTAAAAAAAACTAGTTCACATCACCAAATGATAAAAATCGAACTTTTCTGCTAATTCTTACTACCTATCCAAAGTCTATTGATTATTATTTAGATATGCATATGCACATAAATTTAAGTGGCTAAATGTATATTGAAGATTATTCGATAAATGGCTTCTATTCAGAGTGACAAGAGTTATACCGATGGCATAGTTGTTCACTAAGCACAGTATTATTGTACTGATAATGATTTTTGTAAAAAAAAAAATGAATTTCAACAAACTAACGGGTTCTTAGTGAAAAACATGTCTCACACGGTGTCATTTAAATATACACAGTGTCGTTGTCGTCGTTACATTAGAGATTTTTCCTCGCAGTACGGTACATAACAAATATACAGTATTTTAGTAAGTCGTTACATTTCCAAATAGGCTTTTTAAGTGAAATCCAAATGGAAAGGAAGCTTCTAGACAGTTGTAGAACCAGTTCAAATTGATAGAAGAGGATTGAATGGAATGGGGATGTCCCACTGAGACCTTTTATTCCACCCTAAATTTAAGGGATGAATAATAGTTAAAACATAATAATAGTAACTAGTTTAACACCTGAAGTCATAGTCCAAGGATAATAGATTTGAGCTACATGATTAGATATTTCCAGTTTTCGGCGCCATGTCCGTAAATCATTTCAGCATAATGTGGCGAATTAGATATAGAAAGGCGATATTACCACAAAACTTAGTATCATGATTCAACTTACCACAACTCACATCAGTGTTTCCATTAGAGGATAACAAGTGGAAAAAGAAGCATCAAAGACAGGACTTAAAGTGAACATAGAGAATACAGAGGCGATAGAAATATCTAACTCATAACAATAAACATCAATCACTATTAACGGGGTCATTGCATAGGAATTCATCTCTTTTGCTTATCTGTATGGCATCGTTTCAGATACAGATGACATGGATGAGAACGTCAAAGCCAGGATCGGGAAAGCAAAAGAGACCTTCATTAATCTGAAATCATTTTGGAAATCTGCTACATTGAGAATAAGGAAGGATAATAAGATAAACACTAATGTCAAGTCAGTCCTTCTGCATGGTTCATAGATATGGCGCGTCACGAGAAGGATTCCCAACAGGTTTCAGACCTTCACTCCATACTGATAATCAGATAGCCAGAGGAGATAAGCAATAAGGAAACCTGGGAATGAACCAATCAAGAAGCTACCGCCCACCAAATGTGCTCAAGGAAATAGAGATGGATCAGACACACTGAGGTGACATCACTGAGGGACATCACTCTTCAGCCCCTTGAAAGGGAAATGAAAAGATGGGCACCAAGGAGGTATTGTGACCAGGAGATGAGAGTTTATGGGTAATTGTGGAGCCAACTAAAGTGGACTACAGAGAACAGGATGAAATGGAGATATGCTATTGAAGCCCCATTTTCCATTTGGAACCCATGGGGATGATAATGATTATGTATATGCTTTCATTAAAACTCAATGAAAATGCATTTAGTTAAGAAAAGTACGGTTATGAAATTTACGTTAGTATGTGGGCTATTGTTTTTCAATGAAGTTTAATATCTTGTATGTATTAAATGCTGCAAAATGGCCTCTGAAATTTGCTAGCGATGACTGAGAAGTGGTTAATGCATCACAAGTCAGTAGTTAATAAAAACGGATTCCACAATTCATTTTGTTATATATGCGGTCGAAATTTCCTTTTTTTCTTCGACACCTTAGCAAATTTTATTACATTTTTCTTATTCTGCTGCTTTACTCTTAACTACTTAGACTGCTGGTATTGCCACTAGCGAAAATCAACCTCAATATGAAGTGGTTCTTGCTGGACTGTCAAATGTTTACTCCAGTTATGTCGCTACTCCTGAAGAATATCAAGTGAGTATAGCCTATTTTCTGTTGATTTAGTATATGCGTTCAACTGTATTCTGCTTAAAAAAAATACATAATTCATCACAAATCTGGTTAGTTGACTTTAATCAGTTACATAGTTTATGCATGATAATAAATATGTGTTAACTTTGACGTGGGTGTTTTAGTGATCCCAATAATTGAAAGCTTATTTTTTTTGTATCACCTGTTGATCTGTATTCTAAATTCCAGATGAAACCAGGCAAAAAGGCTCTTGGCTCGTATTTTTTGCGTTGCCATTCACAGGTGGAGATCGTTTGCCATAATTATGTTAAGATGGCTTTTTATTTTCATCCAGCATTACTGTAGATATGAGAAGGCAAAATGTCACATTTAGTTTTCGTCAATCATACTGCCAGTAACTTTATTCGAATAGTATTCAAACATATTTTCTCTCCATTCAGTAACTAGTTCTCACACTTGTCTGCACCTTACTAAATCCAAGAAAATAATAAATAGGGAATTTCTGTGTTCAGTTTAACGATGTAGACATAGAGATCTTGTTCAGATAGGAAGTGATCAGGCAGTCAGCAGAAGACCACACCAAGATATTCTGACAATACCTACTATTACCTTTGTTTTGCTATACTGGCGGAACTATTTTTTCTGGATCCATAGATGTTTAGAAATGCCTACTGAATTCATAATCGTCCTTAAAAATGTATTTCTGAGAGCACAATAAAGCACAACAGAAGCTTAATTGCAAATGAACAAAGATTTTACATCATAAACAGTGGTAGTTAGCTAGACATAAAGAGCTAGCAAAAGTAACGATGCTGAGATATCTGTTATGGTTAGTCAAAATTACTGGGATGAGGCAGCCGGTAGTTTATTCTTATTGAAGACGATAGTTTGGATTGTCAGGTAAACTCCTAGGATGGTTAATTCGGCTTCCATCTAATCAGTTGTCTATAACATGCAGACGGATTTCAGAGCTCAAAGAAACATTAGTTAACCAATTTGACGGTCATTAGAGCTTGGAATACTTTCAGACATTTTGAAATAAATTCGCCTAGGACTATTTACTAACGTAAGAAATTTTAATTGAGATACAGAATTCTTGCAATTCTATTTAACCGACATTGCCATCAAAAAGTGATATTTTCTGAATGTTGACAACGACTTGATTTTCCTCTGTTTATTTGTTGAGCAATCGGCTCTTGGTTAGCTCGGTGCCAGAGTTTCTTGTTGCTAATTCCTTCTGGCCGGTCATTTGATCTCCACTGAGGAGCCAGTGAAGGCAGCTGTTGATAAAAGTCTGCAACCTGTTGGAAATCCTTTTCGTGACAAGCACGCCAAGTTTGTGATCCACATTGAAGAACTGACTGACTTCACATATGTGTTGAAAGTCCGAGTCTTGTTCTTTATGCTGGCTTAGTGCAGAAGATTTCCAAACTGGTTTCAGATAGATAAAAGTGTGTATTGACTTTCCGGTTCTGGCTTTGACATCTTCATCCGTTCTGCCTGCCTGTCTGTGGTTGAGACCGTGCTTCCTGGCTGGATAAGTGAAGAAAGTATCCTCTGTCAAACCTCTTCCGTTGATGGTGATTGGTGCTTGTTGTTGCTTGTTGGTTATCTTCACCACCGTCTTCTCTGTGTTCACCTGCAGTCCTGTCTTCTCTCGTTGTTTCTTCAGACATTTTGTTGCTTTTCGCCTGCCTCCAAGTCTTCAACTTTCTGTGACATTAGACATAAATCATCCACGCGCGAAATCGAACGTATTCCTGTCGTCTCACTCCCTATGCACAGTCTGATGCGTAATCCAGTCCACCACAATTAAGAATATCACCGGTGATAATAGGCAGCTTTCTCTTACTCCTGCATTCACTTCAAAGGTAGGCTTCGTTGAGTTTTCCGTTGTGGATCACCTGACGCGTTGCATTGTCATATAGCCAGCCGGCGGTTGAATGAGGTTGATAGAGACTTGGGCAGTGTACGTCAAAGTGTCGAGGCAGTTTCCGAATTACTTCTCGGTCAACGCTGTCTGGTGAAGGCATTTTCGAAGTCGATGGGGTTGAGGTAGAGGTTTGACTGCCATTCCATGCGTTGTTCTGTGATGACAATGCGGGTGCCTGCAATTGGATCAGCATGTGATCTGCCTTTGATGAATCCAGCTTGTTCTGGTGGGCGGAGTTCTGCATCCAGTGCATCTTCTATTCTCTCCAGGATGGTCCGACTTATTACTTTACTTGGCGTGGACAACAGCATTATTCCACACCAGTTCTTTCAAAGTGAGGCCTGAGTCGCCATTCTTTGGTAGCTTGACAAGGTAGCTAGCCTTGCTTCCAATTGATGGGCACCTTTCCTTCTTTCCAAAACTTTAGTAGTAATGGCGTGAGCACGGCTACCGCAGTCTCTGGGTCCGTTCCGAGTGCTTCTGAGGTAGGGGAAATTCCATCTGGCACTGCTGCCTTCTCGACTAGACTTCAGTGGGTTGATCGCATTCAAGATTTCTGCTTTCATTTGGGGGGGGGGGAATTGGTGTCCGCTGGCAGGTAGCTCTGTGCGTGCTGTTGGTGGTGGTGGTGTATTTCTGGACGAGTTGCAAGTGATGGGCGATTCAAGAGTCCTTTGAAGTGATCAGCCTATTGTTTGATTTGTTTCTCCTCCTCCTTGGTAGTCAGGTTCCCTCGACACATCTCTTATAGTTTTCATCATCTGGGTTGATCTCTTCGAGGAAAGCGAGCAGTCTGGTTATCTAATATAATGTCCTGTGATCTCTTTTACCTACGGCCCACCTGCCTGTTCTGCTTCAGTTTCCAGCTAGTGTACCCAACCATCCCCTGTCGTGTCGCTTATTTCTTCCTAGAATAGTTGCACACGTTTCCTTTAACATCACCATTAGAGAGTTAGTTCCGATGTTCTTCCACACACAGGTGTAGGTGTCCTCAGTGATAACGCGTAGTGTCTCCGACTTTGTTCTGATCTGTAGTGAAGATATCCCATGTAGTTTTGTCCTTCACTTTCTGCATGCTGAACCTAAGTTGTGGCCTGTCTCCAGTTGTTTTGAGGGATTTCAGCTCCACCTTGGAGGTTCCTCGAACCAGACAATGATGAGAGTCCACATCTGCTCCCCTTCTCAACTTTGTGTCCATCAGGCTAGCTGCATCTCCACTTTCTTGAGTAACACTGAGACGAAGTCTATCTGGTATTTGGTGGGCCCTTCATGCGAAATCCATGTTGCTTTGTGTATATCCATGTGCTTGTATACGCTGACTCCGATCACCAGATCATTAAAAGCGTAGAAGTCTGCGAAGAGTTCTCCATTCCCATTCATTTCGTCCAGAGCCTCTCAACCCATGATAAGTTCTCTTCATGTATTATCTGGTCACAGTTTGGCATTCATATTACCCATAAGGATTTTGATGTCTCAATTTGGAATGTTGTCGACTACTGTTTGTAGTTGTCTATAAAAAATTTCCTTCTTCTCTTGCTTCGCGTTGTTTGTAGCAATGTGTGCAGCATTGGATAATTGTGACCTGCCTTACTTCCTTTTGAGTTGAATGTTGCTGTCATGCTCCTGGATGAAATTGGTTCCGAATGCATAAGAGCTGTGGCTTCCGCTGGTGACATCATGATAGTCACTCACTGCCTCTGTGTGCTTGTGGTTGTCGTCTGGATGACCGGAGCAGACAACTGACTTACCAGTTGACAATTTTGATAGTCCACATCGATTCCATCTGGTGTCACAGATGCCCAGCATTTCTATGCCATATCTTCGCATTTCTTTGGCCACCTGGACAGCCGTCACGGTCTCGTACATTACACGTACACATTCTTAATTTTGCTTTCATCGAGAGGAGATACATCGACTGGCTGATTGGTTTCCCGGAGGCTTTCACCAGCTCGCGTAATTTCGCGTCTCCGACTCCAACGAAGAATGTTTTTCGAATATTTGTATTTTCAATGTTTTTTGTTGTTTGAAGTTCCTCTCAGAGCTTGAGGAATTTTATTATATTGGTGCATGGAATGTATGGGAAATATTGTATAAAATAAACGTGGTGAAATACGTAATGACTTATATGTGTATTGTCAGTATTATGTTTAATTTAATAATTCGTTAGTTTTATATCTGTTTTCTTTCTTATCTTTGTTTACAACTTCAGTTACAAAGATACGAAGCTGCATCCACTATTTACGGTCAGTATACACTTCCAGCTTACGAACAACAATTTGTGAAATTAGCGTGGTCGTTAGTTAAAGTAAGTTGAATGATTTTATCACGATTGATTTGTCAATTAATCATTTTTTTACCGATATACATATATATATATATATATATATATATTATTGTATACCATTGACATTCTTGTTTTGAAAGCTTCATTTTCGCTCCTTATGTTGTCGTTATCTTACTTTCACTGTTTCTTAAAAGATCTAAAGATGCCCTATAGTGGTTTTGTTTGCTTACACTGCGTTCACTTTTTACCACTAGGCTTCTATTCACTGTATTATTCTTGAGAAATTTACAAGCAAGATGTTAGCAATATCAATAATATATGTAAGTTTTGTCTTCATGGCACAGTAAACGGCGCAAAACACGTGTATTAGATCATTACCTTAACGACATGATAAGAAGTGTGTGAGCGAAACATTTCGATGTCAAGAAGTCAGACTATCTATTTTCAGACTATAACATCCTTTAAAATGTGTGCTCTCATAAAATAGGTCAGTTACAAGCATATTTTGCTTTACACTAGTTCAACGAAGGTCATGGTAATATTAATCGGAAATGGTTCAAAGAATATCATTAGCGTGAATCGTGTTAAAAATTAATCATAGAAGCAAAGAGAACAGCTGGTATACACATTTATTTATGTAATCTGACTGATAGCGGTTGGAAATCCTGGTCTCAAGTTTCCTTCTGTCTCCGACTTCTCAGCTAGACGTACACATACTCCTGGGTTTGAACACGTTTGTGCGATGTTTAAAGTACCCTGTCGCTATTGAGTCTTTCTGTGTCCAGCGTTGACTTGGTGATAGAGGTCGGTCGCCAGGTTACACAGTATCTCTCTTCGTGCCTAAACTTAGCGCTGATCCGGAACAGATGGTCTGGACAGAATTGTGGAAGACGATCACTGTTGTCGGTTCGTCGGCCGGGAACTCCATACCTACCACCAACATACTTCTCAGCCTGGCACAACTTCCCTACTTGGGCGTTGAAGTCGCCTGCTATAACAACTATATCTGAACGTTTTGCTTTTTGTAGCAAATTAGACAGTCATGTAGAAGTCATCCTTTAGTTCATCCGAAGTGCAGTCGGTTGGGGCGTAAGCGGAGACTACGAAAAGGCAACGACGGGTAGCGCCGTCTTTCCTTCTTTTAATGGACCCATTTAGACGGACTGCACATACACGACTATCTACTGGGATCCGGTCAATAAGTGATTTTTGTGCCCTAACACTCAGTGCTATCCCTACACCTGTGAGTCCTCGCGAGCTAGCTGGGGGTCTCCTGACAACCTTAAGGTGAATTTTTCAGATTCGCCTTCTTGACCGGGTGAGGTTAAATGAATGGCCACACTCGGGTCTTGCATGTGTGTCTCCGAAACACAACATGCATGCATGGCTCGAGATGCCAGAGTTCCGACCAGTGATGCCTGTTGTCCGATTAGCCGGAGGGTCCTGACCTTAATTAAATATTCCTATATGAAGTTGGAGACGAGGCTACCGGGGGTGTTTCTATTGCTCTCACCGTTGTTTGTGGTCACAGAGTGAAGTGAAGATGACTCACTAGCCTGCAGAATAGTACTAACTGTAGTAGAGAAGCAAGATGAGGAAGGTGATGTGAGTAAAGGAGAATGATGCTCAGGAAGGCTTCGTGTGCTTTTGGAAGCGTGTAGACAGTTGTTACTTCCCGACTGCCCACACCGTGGAAGTTGGTTGATTCTTCGGGTACCTGAAACAGGAAGAGGGTTAGTGTTGCGTGACCGAAGAGTCCAGGGTACAAGTGGTTGAGGCCGGTCACACATGGCCTGTATGAGCTTGTTTCTCCTATTGGTTCCGTATCAGTAAATTTACCGCCGTTTATGTACCACCGTCTCTCCGGAGTGGAGAGTCTGCATAGTGACATGCTGGTCATCCTTGTTCCCCAGCATAGTTTAAAAAATATTCTTACAGAATTCCGGTAACTGCTTCTAGTGTAGTCGCTATCCTAACAACGTTCCAGGTATGGTAGGACCTGCAGGAATATTAGTTCCAGCCAGTGTAGCTTTTTGGGTCACTTCGATATGCAAGTGTGTTATTGTTTGGAAAGTGATCTGAGAACAATTTACCTATTCCTCATAGTCACATCAGTTCATTAATGTGACAGGCTTGTGGGGATTATATGCATGTGATATGGATTGTATTGGTCGAGTACGGAAGTTTATTAGTCAGGATTCTTAGAAAGTAATGAAATCTCTAGACATTATCACTCTCACGTTTGATGTGAAGAACAGTTCATTGAAGAGCTAAAAATCCTCTACATGGTGTCTAATGCGAAACCACCCTTGAAGTCCAATTTTGTGTATAGACTTTTCCGTGGCGTATGTCATTGGATATTTGTCGTCAACCAAGATGAATCTAAGTAGAAAGAGCTCTACTTTTGATACTCAAAATCCATGAAATACCATTTTTTTATTACAGCTTGATGCCACACCGTATTTTTGGTACAAATATTTATAAATTTTCAGCATATGATATCGGTAGTCCAAATTTTGCAGGCTGACCATAGATATCGGGCGTGCATCGGAAGGGGTCGTACCCCCGACCATGTGCATGGTTGGCGAGAGTCCTAACCGCTCTGCCACCAACGTAGTTAAACATTCCGTGAAATTTTGTACAGAACCCTTTCAGTTTTTCATCGCCTCTCATTAATTACACATGCAAAAGTGGAGTCTTTGATTCACTGTCATCCTCAAACTTTGATTTATGTTAGAAGTCAGTTAAGCAGATTAGATTTTTCAAATACCATCCTATAAGTAACTCTTATTGAGATAGTGATATTAAAATTCATAAAAGACAGAATTCAAAAAATTATGGATATTGTGGGTCTAGAGCGTTCTTAAAATCACTTACTGATTAACTGTTCACCCTTTTATATTTTCAAAGACATGAAAAAGTTCAATTCATATTTTCATCGAATGTCATAGTGAAGTCGCGACTGTCTGAAATTGTCTTTGACATGTTTTATTTATATTTTTCTGTCCATCAGATCACATGCTCCCCCTTGTCTGGATTAGTCCTAGCTAAATCTCTCTGGCGTATCAATTGTTCTAGTTGTTCTTTTGTAACATGATGAAGTTTGAATTTTCCCTACTATATTTAGCCGGCTACTACATGCATCTGCGTAGTATTGTAGAATGAAATTGTGTTAATGTACAACTGGCGAAGTCGAATGAAGTCGCAATAAGCAACTTTGCTAAACTTTTTTCCTAATACACTATTATAACATTTACTAAACTGAGTTAATCTCAATTCATGTCATACATAGATAGTCATATGACTGTATCCCATAGCATATTTCTTTGTGCTACTGTACTAGTTCATTTCATCAGATGCAAAATTATGGATTTGGTTTTGTTGGCTAAACGGTCAAGATTGCGACAGTTTTGATGCTATATATTAGTAAGAAGTGAATCTGTCTGTCTGGATTCAACATAGAACTTGGCACTGAAGTGCAGCAGTTCGAGTTGCCACGTTCCAAATAGCACACAGAAGTAGACAAGAAGATGAGTGAAGAGAATCAATACAGTCTGACAAGTATAAGAGTGAAACAGATTGGGTAATGGTAGAAAGGAATATGAAAGATTACTGAGACTGAATACATCTGCGCCATTGACAACGATTTTGAGCCATGTCACCCATTGTCTCCAGCCATTGATTCCTAGAGTCCCGAGGGCCCCAACCCGGGAGTCTGCATCTCCCTACCTGACTCAGTTTAACTGTCAAGGATTTCATGGATTGATGAGGCCATGTTTTTGTTTGGCCACCACTGGCTCTTTTCCAACCTTCACCTATATCAGCTAGCAAAGCCCGTCGGGCGAGGCGGTGGTTAGGCATGCGCAGCACGTGACCTATCCATCTTAGTCTACGTAACTTTATAGCCTCGTCGATTGATTTTCCCTCTTTGCCAAATACTCTACGCCTAACGTCAACATTACTTACCTTGTGAATAAATAAACAAACTATTTCTAATCAAGTAAACACCGCTCTATGATCACCATCTCTTTTGAAGCATTTTTTTTCTTTCATTATGTTAATTTTAAAATCTGTGAAATGTGTCCAGAATTACTAAAAGCACTTTCATCAGGCTGCAGACTTTTATCAACATCTACTTTCGTTCCATAGTGAAGATGAAATTTGCGGCTAGAATGGATAACCAACAAGAAACTCTACCTATGAAACAACCAAAAACTGATTGGCGAATGAATGTGCCGAAAGAAATGGTTATGAATCGAGCATACACTAAGAAGGCTGTTGAGCGACATCAGACCTCAAGTTTTCGAGTGTAACTTGAACGGGAAATGACGAGTTCGGCGTCCGATGGTGACACTTAGGAGACCGTGTGAGAATTAGGTAGACTTCATTTCAATCTCAAGGAAGTGGAGACGGAGCCTACTAGACACAAGGTCGAGGAGAGGAGCAGATGTGGGACTTTCAAGGTGAAGCTAAAAGCCTTGAGGATAGCTGGGGATAGGTCACAATGCAAGTTCAACATTCAAAAACTGAAGGACACTTTCACTGCAACTGTGTTCAACGGTTTCAGAAAGAAGGAATAGATAAGACAAGGAATGGCTCTCAATGGACACTTTGAAGCTAATAGAGGAGAGGAGAGGAGAATGTTGAAAGAGAAAATGATTCAATGCAAAGACGGACAAGAGAAGAAGACGCTGAGTTTAACTTACACAGCACTGGATAAAGAAGTGAAGAAGGGTGCTAGGAAGGACAAAAGACAATTCTACGACAACCTGGCCACTGAATCTTAAAAGTCAGCAGGCAAAAGGGACCTGAGGACACTATATCAGATAATCAAGTCTATATCCGGGAAGAGATCAACACAAGTGAAACCTATAAAAGACAGCCAAGGGAACCCAATTACCAAAGAAGAAAGGCAGATTAAACAATTGTTGGATCATTTCAATGGACTCTTGAACCGACCACCCTCTGCAACCCGTCCAGAAATACCAACAACAGCACGTACACAACTGCAAGTTGACACC